TAATTTTCCAATCGTTCACTATACCAAATCCATATTGTATAATTTTTGCAAATCCCATCACAAACTAAGTGCTCTCTTATTTCGACAACACCTAGTCTCCTCTCATTCAAAAAATTAACACAAGGACAATAGAACCTTTCACTATTGTCAACAGCATTTTTCTTAGCAAATTCCAAAAATTCTTTCACCCCATTATCATACTTGTCACTCGTTCATCTAACATTCATCCAACTACGATCCATGTGTCACCTCCTAAAGAATATAACTAATGTTATTATCTTCAAACTATTTTAAGAAACTAAGTTCCTAATTAAATTAAGATTTGAAAAAATTTCGGCAGAATCTCCCCTGAAAATTGGATCTCCCAAGACTTTTTAAAAAAAATTTACAAGAGAAAATTGACAATTTTAAGCCAAATAAATGATCACATACAACAACCTGAGGCCTTATGAAGCCACTAACAGCACTCCTAGCAATAATTAATATCATTAAAAACTAAATTTAAGAAAATTAGAGGAAAGATTAAATTCAAAAAAAATTTTGACAGAGTCTCCCCTAAAAATTGGACTTCCCAAAAGTTTTAGAAAATTTTACACGAGAAAATTAACAATTTTAAACCAAATAAATGATCACATGCAACAACCTGAGGCCTTATGAAGCCACTAACAGCACTCCCAACAACAATCAATATCATTAAAAACTAAATTTAAACATTATAAAATTTAAAAATTTATATTCAACACATACCTGGGTGGCGGCAGCTGTAGCAACGGCTCAACACTGAGAGGGAGGGAGAAGGAGTGGTGGAGGGGGGTAAGAGGGAGGGAGAGGGGGAGGGGGGTGGGAGAGGGAAGGGGTGGGCAAGGGGAGAGGGGGAGGGGGAGTGGGCAGCAGGACGAGGGGGAGGGGGACGGCCGAGGAAGGGGGAGTGGGAAGGGGAGGGGGCGGCGGGACGAAGGGGAGAGGGAGGGGGTTGGGCGGACCTAGTGGGAGGGGGGGCGGCCGGGTGAATCGAGGGGAAAGGGGAGGGGGCAGCGAAGGGAGGAGGGGGAGCGGGGGGGCGGTGGGATGAGGGGGAGGGGGCGGCGAGGGGAGGAGCTGGAGGGGGCGGCGGGACAAGGGGGAGGGGGAGTGGGAGAAGATGAGGGGAGACGAGGGGGAGGGGGAGTGGGCGGACAAAGGGGAGACGAGAGGGAGGGTGCGAGAAGGAGGAGAGGGAACTGATGAATGGAGGAAGGAAGAAAGGATTTTAAAAAACACTTTTTACACCGGGTGTACAAGCACCCGGTATAAAAAGTATACTTTTTACACCAGGTGTCCCGGAACCCGGTGTAAAAAGTTATATTTTTACACCGGGTGGGGGCACCCGGTGTAAAAAGTGACACATAATTCAATATAATTGCAAAAATGCTACCGCCTTTATTTTTTACACCGTTTGCCTTCCAACCGATGTAAAAAGTACCCCATAAATTTTATATTTTGTACTAGTGATATTTTGTTTATGTTAGTTTTTTTAAATTGTTTTGGTTTGATTTTTGGTATCTGAAATTATTTATTAACTTTAATTGTATAAATAAAATTTCTTGTACAAATTGATAATATATCATATTTTTTTATTATCATTTATTTGTTAAAAAATATTTTATTTGAATTATTATTTGAATTATTATGGCATTTAAAATTAAATATTAAATATAAAGTAGGCTTGCATGAGGGAAATAATTTTTTTTTAAAATAAACCTATGGAAGTGTTCCTAGAAAGAAAGAAAGGCTCTTGCAGGGGTAACATACAAGAGCTTTGTAGGGAGACAAGCTCTGTAGGGTAGGCCCATGTCAACATTTCTAATTAGAAACACTCCTATAGATTTGACTTTTCTTCATATAAAAGCTATCATAGGATAGAACACTCACCTATGCCTACCCTATGAGAGCATTTTAGAAGTTTTCAAAATGCTTCAAAACAGTAAAAATGAATGCTCTAAAAGGCGATTTTTGTTGTAATCATATCTTCAAAGCTAGGGCATCAATATCCTTTAATTAGGTTTAATTTGCTCCAACCCATTTCAATCTTTGGATACAAATAGAGTTAATAACAAATTTTTTAAGGATAGAATGAATACTCTTAAGTATGATTTCATATTCAAACCAAGACAACAATGGTATTGACAAAATGATAATTTGACTTTATTCCTAATAAGTTCAAAGGTAAAAGACAATGAGTTTAATTTGGATTTTAAAAATGAGTAATGGATCGATGAATTTAAAGATAATAAAGTGATGCCACAAGAAGCAATATAACTATTCAATTAAAAATTCATAATCCCATGTTGCTCACGAGCCAAAATATCTTTGATAACCAATGGCAGTATACTGATGCGACAACATTAACCAATAAATGAGCTGGATGAGATTAAATTAAGAGAATGGTCAAATGATTGCCAAAAAAAATTGTCTTTATTTCGAATGGTTGTATTAAATTCGTTAACTTGGTTGTTTCCAAGTATCCACGTAAATACTTTCTAACAACATAATTTAGCTAGTTTTGAGTTAACATAAATTGCAAAGTATGTTAAGAATAATAAAACTAACTTTTAAAACTTGGTGAGTTTATATTTAGAGAGTAAACTTGTAAAGGAACCTGAATTACATAGGGATGGAAAATTCTTTTGGAAGTCATTAGATTAAAATATATATATATATATATATATTTGCAGCTTCTTTTCTTTTATGATTGTTTTAATATATATAATTCAGTGTCATGTTCTTAAAGAATATGAATTAGTTACTTTGCAATGAAAAATTTAAATATAAAGTAAATATAATAAAGAAAAAGAAAGAGAAAAGGCACATTATCAATTTATCCTGGTTTAGACCAAAATGTCCTACATCCAGTCCCCAAGCACAAAGTCAGGGATTTTTATTATTGTAGGCAATTACTGAAATAAAAAGCAGTTAACCTCAAACATAGACTTGGTTTTACAACTTTTACGATCTATGCCGGTGATAAACTAATAGGACTTAACACTGCATTTTTAGATCTAAAGAACTATCAGCTAGATTTATCCAACCACTGTACCTTTTTCTCCAATATAAAACTCAATAAACAAGGCCATCAAATTTGGTTTAACACTCAAATAATAGCTTCAATGTAATTAATTTATGTTCCTCGTTCTATTTTCAATACATAGCTTCCATTTCGACCGACCTATGACCATGGGCAACAATTCCTTTGAATAATGTGCCAAATTTGTTCATCGACAAAAAATGTGTCTTCAGCGCTCTGCAAAATAGCTCAATCAAATCAACGTATATGGACTAAATTTAGCAATCTTCAATATGCAACAAGTTGAATCCATTTGATGCATCCTTCAAAGTAAGAACAGTAGAGCGAACCTTCATACTTTCTATTTTTTTTCTACATATTTCATAAAATCATGGACTGTAATTTTTCATTCTTGATCATATATAAATTTGATCAACATATAGCTCCAGATAATCCTATCAATACAAAGCTGATCTATAATATTTTCTGATTAATATTTTCTCAAATTTCATTTCACAAACACAATATTGTTTGGCTTGAGTTGAATTTTGAATTATGATTACCACATTTATGCCAAAAGCTAAAGGATCACGCCAAAACATGAAATCATCAATTTTGTAAGTATAGCTAACATGAATTGAATATTAAAACAGATAACATAACCACACCCCTAGATTGTCGATTCTTTTTTTTTTTTTAAAGGACAACACAAAGTAGTAGAACATACCTAATTTCATACAGTACTCGTATATTTAGCTTATAACAAGTGTATAAGTTTCTCCTTCTGAAATTCAGAGCACAGTTATATAACAGAATATCCAGCTAGCTATCCTTTCTATCCAATAGAGAAAATATTTACAAGGCAATAAGCAAAATTTACCTGTTCAATTAAACACTAATGTGTAAAACAATACTACAAAATAACCTTACAGGAGCGCTTTTTTTTTTTTTTAATTTTAGGGAGTGCTTTTAAAGCACTCCCGTATCGAGCGCTCCAAAATATATAGGAGCGCTTAAAAAAAGCGCTCCTGTATGTATGCTATACAGGAGCATTTTTAGAAAAACGCTCCTGTAAGAGAGCTCCGATTTATAAGGGCACACGACATATACGGGAGCGTTCTTTAGAAGAGCGCTCCTGTATGTGGCATATAGGAGCGCTCCTCTAAAGAGCAAGAGTGCTCCTATATGCCCACATACAGGAGCGCTCTTTATAGGAGCGCTCCCGTATGCTGACAACTTACTGGAACGCTCTTTTAAAGAGTGCTCTCGTAAGTTACTTTACAGGAGCACTCTTTTATATTATATTTATTTTTTAAATTAAATTTTTTAAATTTCTCCTTTTACATATATTTAACAATAGCAAATTATAATATCAAAAACTAATTTAAAAATAATATCAACATAAAAATTTATATACAAGAAAAGAATTTGAAACTGATACAACAATTTCAATTTTCTAACTAACCTAGTTTAATTTCTGACAAGCCTAACAAATGAAATTATTGTTATTTTTTTAACATTGAAATCTAACTTCCTATCACAAACAGCCAATAATACATTCTGACCATTCTTTAACTAAATCTTCTATTTGCTCCGTAGTAAAATGTGAATATCTTGCTCCAACAAAATACTACACAAAATATGAAAGTAATATATAAGTAATTAACATTATATTAACTTAATTTCAAAGCTTTTGACTTACATTTTCAGGAATGATCAACTCTTGTTGTGTGATTACTTCTCTCATAAACTTCATAATATAGTATCCACACTCCCAACCTTGTAATTGTGTAGGTACCTATAAAACAATAAAAGATGTCATTATCAAAATATGGTAGAAATAAATTTTAACTTAATTTAAAATACTTTAGTGATGAAGTTATATATATATGATATAAGTATTTGCTGTTGAAAATCTGACAGAGTCTCCCTTATAACTTGGAAGTTCTAGAATTTTTCAAAAATTCTACATCAATCCAGAATAACATATTCAGAATAACAAACATAAAATATCAATCAAACAATCATTTAGATATATACTAACTTATTTTATTAAGAAAATAATACAAACCTCTATTCTTTTTCATGAATAAAACTCAACAGGATCAGGTCTTTTGGTGTTTGGAGGGAGACCTTCACCTCCTCGATAACGTGCTACAGCCTTATTATATAATGATTAAGCATACCAAGTAAAAAATTAATTGTTATAATAAACATATATAAAGAATATAGAACTAAAAACTTATTGATTAAATAATATCCTCATAGATTTGTAGTTCTTAAAGTCACTATCTCTTAATGAATCAAGATAATAAATCACAGGGATGAATGGATTGATACAAACAAGCACCCAATGTTGCTTGAAAAAATAAAATATTTCTTTAACTAAAATATCAACTAAAGTTAAAAATAAACAATAATAACAATTTACCCTAGATTGTGAAGAGCTAAAAATAACATGTTTCTTTTGCCTTTGGCTTTGAATGTATCAGTAATCTTTTGAGAATGGTATTCAACACTATAGGTACTAGTGTTGTGCGGGCTAATAAATGAAAATTTTGTTATCAATGAGCCCGACACTACAAAAGTATGATATAAGTACCTAAAATGAAAACAAATAGAATCATTCACAACTAAAATTAAATAAATACCAGAATAAGTAATAAAATTGAGAAAGTACCTGATGTATAAACTAATTTGTATAGTTTGTAGCCAATCCTTGGTCAGAATTTCATTAATATTTTTAGCTGCTAATTTTTCGCTAATTATTTCACCATAAATCTCCTTTTCAAATTCTACTTCACGGATCTCATTTTTAAATGTTGTCCGCATAATCACTTCAAGTGCATTTTGATGAGAATATTTCAATTGAGTAGATTCTGTGCTGGTCTTCCCTGCCTTAGTCACAGAAGTAGATCCTTTCTATGGCTTTCCTTTTGCTTTGATTGGCTTCTTTACAACTTCTTTAAATTTTGAAGACTACAAGATGTAAAATGGATTGGTAAGGCCGTAAGAAAACATGAATGATTTCAAAGAACCATCAATTATTATACCTGTAACTTAATGAGCTTTAAAGGCCAAGCCATAGAAGTTCCAACGGCATCAAAAATCGTGAATATATCCTCATCTTCTATTTGCACTGGCAACTCAGCATTATTTTCTATTGGAATAGTTATAGTCACCTTTAAGTGATTAGCAGGCAATGGTCTGGAGTGTATAGTAATACTATTGTCATTATACACAGATCCGAGTGCCACAACACAACAATGTGGTGATTATAACCATAATTGACATTGAGACTCACCTTAAAAATTAAAAATTAATATTTTAAAAAAATGTGAAACATAATTTGTGAATAAAGAGAAGATAATAGAAAGAAAAATTATAACCTTAGGAAAGTCTTCTTTAGTATGGAAGGAGCAACTATCTTTATCTCTGGGGCTACCTTGTGGCATATTCAACAGCATCTTCCTTAAAAGAACAACCTCCCAAATGATCAAAAAATCGAATTCTACAACACAATACATTTAAACTAAAAAAAATCAATTCATCCAAATAAAAATTTAGTAGCATAATGCATCTAAATTCTGTTAATCAATTGTAATTTAATTAATAACAATAATCTCCCTTAAAAGTATATTTCATAAATAAAATAAAAATGTTCAAGTAGTTTCCTCAACTTTAATCTAAATTATCAACTACAAATACTCCATAATTTTAATATAAATAACTTCAATTCATATATTATCTATAATATTGATTATTAAAAAAATATTTGAAATTTATTCTCAAATATATATAAATTAATTATTAAAAAAATTACCTTCAAAGTGTAATCTTCACGGCAGAAAATGGCGGTATTCACTGCAGTAGTGACATCGCTTCCTCCGCTGTACAGTAGTGACGCACAATGGCAACGGAGGTCTTCAAGGCATCGCTTCCTCCGGTGTACAGCAGCAGCACAGATCTGCAATAGCAATACAGATCTGGAATAGAGATTCAGATCTGGAACAGCAAATAGCAAAGACAGATGGACAACAGCGACATGGAGACGGCAAAATGAACGGCGACGGCGACGGCGACACAAGATATGGACGGCGACGGTGACAGCGACCAGGAGACAAACGATGATGTGGCACAGAAATAGAGACAGATGCACGACACAAAGAAGGAATGATCGACAAAAAAGAGAGAGACGTTTGAAAGAAATTAAATGGAGAAAAGAAAACTAACGAAACATAAGTAAAGCTGGAAAGACTCTTCCGAAGCGCTCGTTAAACGAGCGCTCCGAAAGACTCATCTTCCAGAGCGCTTAAGTACGAGCGCTCCCGAATGTATTTTTAAATTTTTTTAATAATTTATATATATTAATTAGGAGCGTTATTTTATGAAGAAGCATGACATACAGGAGCGCTTATTTAGAAAAGCGCTCCGGTAAATTCCACATTCATATTTTAGAGCGCTTATTTAAAAAGCGCTCCTAAATACCCGCTCCTAAAGATATATTTTGTAGTAGTGAAAGATTATTTTAAGTGCTTTATTATGAAGCATAGAACTAAATTCATCCAGCAAATCATCATTGCTTGGATTACAAATTCTTTGCAATCCAAGACGATCTTGCATCAAACCAAAGGAGTAACAGATCTTGAGAGAAACATCGTAGAATGTTATGCATTTCCATGTAATTCTAGAAATATGATTAATTGATTGTTGTTATCTGTAGTTTTAACGGGACAGTTAAATGGTTGAAATAGAATAGTTTTATAACATAACTATCAATTGAATGTTTTTCTCTATCAACTCACATAGCTAGTTTTATTTGTCAAATGATTATTATAAAAAAATAGAGTTGAATGAAAAAATAAGACTAAGAGAAAATAATATATTTCATTACCTTCCAGCTAGTCTCTATTAGTGAGGTATCTTGCCACATGAATTGCCACCATGACTTGGATTCTATTTGTAACTCTGTTCACAAAGCTGTAGTAAGAGTGCCTCCAAGAGTGGCTGAAGAGTAATGGCCCTACAAAGGCCCAACAATCGGCTGCAAATCCTAAGCCTAAGCTCAAGTAAAATCCTTAGGAGAAAAATGAGTCAAAATCTTCATCATGAACAAATGCTTGAGGTGAGAGTTTCCTATCTTCTGAACACTTTCTGTCAAGTGGCATTCCACAAAGATCAAAATTTCCATCATAACTTGAGACATTGAAACTCTGCAACTGCGTTCCTATTGGGATTTTTCCAAATAGATGATTGTTTGACAAGTTTAAAACATTGAGGCAATAAATATAAGCAAGACTTGGGGGGATTATGCCTGATAATTCATTTCTTGACAAATCTAGAATTCAAGTGATTCTAGGTCCCCAATTTCAAGTGGGATTTTTCCACTCAATTTGTTTCTTGATAAATTTAGTGAAATCAATGCCAACAAAGATACTAATGCTTTTGGTATTTCACTAGTGAGAGAATTGCTTGAGAGGTTAATGCTTTTTAGTAGGAAGTCAGGCCTCTTGAATAAGTAATCATGACCCTTCCATGTCAATGTTATGTAGAAATCAAAACTATAATCATTATATCCTAAACCATTTAAAGAGAACAAATGTGCATACTCAATTACTTTTGTTGAGCCGATATGCTCCTGTGCCATAACACTTAAATTGTGAAGACAAAATGGAATTTTATAGGATAAATTATTGTGTGAGAGATCCAAAAACTGAATTTGTATTAAGTGGCAGAGATGCACATGTAGACTACCATATAAACGATTCATACGTAAGCTTAGAATTTGCAATCGTCCAAGGCTTCCCCCAATCCATGAAGGTATTGGTCCCAACAACTTATTCTCTGACAAATCCAATAGTTTTACCTTAGAGCAATTCATCAAGGAGGATGGAATTTCTCCACTCAAGCTATTGGTTCTCAAAACCATAGCCTCCATGTCCTTTAGGCATCCTATGGAGGGTGGGATCTCTCCTAACAAATAATTATTGCTTAAATTGACAAACTGTAAGTTATTTACATTACACCAACAACAGGTAGTTGCCCCTCTAATTGATTGTTTGATATATCCAAAATGCCAACACCTCCATCTTCAAGTTGGCCACATACATGTGGAACCAAATTTGAGAATTTATTGTTGGCAAGGTAAAGTGTTAATGCTTGTGGGAAAAATGATGGAATTGTACCTTCAAAGTTGTTTGAAGTCAAAATTATTTTTCTTATATTCTTAAACTTGAGTGGTAAATTTGGAATTTCACCAGAAAAATGATTGTAAGAGATGTTATATCTTATATATTTTTTGCTAGTTTCCAAAACCACTTTGGTACAAGACCTAAGAGCGCACAATTAGAAATATCAAGTGAAGATAACCCATGTTGATTATGAAGCCAATTTGGAAAATTAGAAGCCAATTTGAAAAATTAGGACCCAACTCACAAGAAGTCGTTCGTAAAATTTTCAAATGAAAAGGAGGGACCCAACTAGTGCTAATTCTGAGTGTCAATAATGAATTTCCATGCAGTGCAAGTATTCCAAATTAGGAGATTACTTAAATGAGAATCATATATTATACCACTCAAATTATTCCCACCTAAGTTTAAATAGTTCAACTCGGTTAATAATCCAATGCTTTTGGGTATATCTACTTTTAATTGGTTATTAGAGATATCCAAAAATTATAAAACGGAAACAATTGAAAGATCAGGTAAGAAGCCTGATATTCGATTATTAGATAAATCCAACCTTCGTAATGAACGACTTGTGCACTATGAAGTGTCGTGAATGAAACTTGAAAGCTCCCCGCTCAAGCTATTATTTGAAACAAGAAATTTCTTCAGTGTGCACATATTCCCCAATGATGTTGGGATTTCAACTTGCAGCTTATTAGAGGAGAGATCAAGAACTTCAAGTGATGTCACCATGTTTCCAAAATCATGAGGAACGGGACCTTTCAGTGAGTTATCAGAAAGGTCAATTTCAAGAAGGTTGAAGGTGAAGTTAGAAATCCAATAGAATATGGCTATTAATGTCAAATGATTGAGAGACAGATCAAGCTGCTTAAGAGACGTGAGATTGGGACTGGAAGATGTAAAAATCTAATTATTTGATGAAAGGCTACAATTTCTCAAATGAAGCTCTTGAAGATTAGAACTAATGTTCAATGCCCATGCTAACATCATTATTACCAGAGAGGTCAAGGATGATGAGGGAAGAAAAATGAAAATATGAATTTAGAAAGTTAAGGGTATTAGCTGAAAGATTACAATCAATAAGAAAAAGCTTCTGAAGGTTGAAGCTCAATTTGAAGTCCCCCTGAAATATTGTTGAGGCCAAGTTGTTGTGGGACAGATCAAGAGTGATAAGTGAAGAAAAATCAAAATTAGAAAATGAAAAATAAACATCATGGGTTGAAAGATTGCAACCACTTAGATAAAGCTCTTGAAGATTAGAGCTGAAATTGAAGGGCCATTGAGATAATGCTAAGTTCAAGATGTTGTAGGAGAGATCAAGGATGACAAATGAAGAAAAACTAAAATTAGAAAATGAAAATTCTGAAAGATTGCAACCAAGTGGATAAAGCTCTTGAAGATTAGAGCTAAAATTGAAGGGCCACTGAGATATTGCTGAGTTCAAGTTATTCGAGGAGAGATCAAGGATGACAAGAGAAGAATAGTTTAAGGGAGAAGTAGTTAGAGGAAGGTTATGAGCATAAGAAATGCCACATCCTCTTAGTCTTAATTCTCTTAGTTTTGGCAGTTGAACAATCATCTGCAGCCAGAGATGAGAAAAGCCAACGTCACCAATATAATCCAAGTCAAGAATTGTTAATGAATAGAGCCTAGATATCCACTTTGCATCATGACTATACTGGTCACCTATTGTGAGATCAGAAATGTCACCGCCAAGCTTTAGAGTGTGCAACATGGAGAGATTCCCAAGTTGATGAGGGATCACTCCAAACAACATATTGGAACTCAAATCAAGATATTCCAAATTTGAAAGCATTCCCAATTGATAAGGAATACTCCCAACAAAAAGAGATTTAGAGATGTCGAGATATCTCAAGTTGGTGAAGGACCCTATGGACTCTGGGAACTCACTTGGATAGAAAGAATTGTCACTGAGATCTAAATGTTTTAAATCATGCAATTCAATCAATAAAGTAATATTGATTTTACCTCTCAAAGAAAGTTGAGTTGAACCATGAAGATCAAGGACTTGAACATGACCTGTTTTATTGCTGCAATATACTCCATTCCAGTTGCAGCAATCATCATCTCCATCTTCCCTCCACGCAGATAACATTGCGAAGTCATCTTGCACGATGCCTTGCTTGAACATGAGCAAAGCTTTTCTCTCCGTCACTAAGCACTTCACTCCTTTGCCACTAGTGGCCCAACTGAAACTTAGATGCAATGAAAACATCAATGTCAATAATGCATAGGAAAACTTCGAAAAATTGTCCATCTTAGTGGCAAATATCATCAATACAAGCTGTTGAGAGAAGCAACTAGCTAGAGAGAATTGTAATACACAGTTTTTTGAGATGTGAGGTATAGAAGAGGGATGGATAGTGATTTATAGGGTTCATTACGTACAGGAAAATACTTGAAGGATAGCTTGTAGACTTTTTAACACGCTATTTCAACAACTTTTGACATTTCAATTCGAACTGGTGAACATTTGGAATTTTTTTTGGCCAATGTGAACATTTGGAAATTGAGTGCTGGTATATACAGTGTGCTTTTGGCTAATGTTATTATACTTGGACACTAATATTTCGTATTTTCATATCATCTACTCCCTTAATTTAAAAAATATAAGATATTTTCAACTAAATCTTACCCATAGTAAAATTAGTTAATTGTCTTTAAACTAATATCGTCTTTTTATATTTACCCTTATTTATAGGGTGTTTAAGTTAAAAATAAATATAAAGTGATTTATTTATTAAGGATACTCTTGAAAAAAACACATTAATTATACTTAAAAATTACTAAAAATACTTTACATTTTTTAAAATTCAACCCCTTAAAAAATTCCTTGTATTTTTTTAATGATGGGAGTAATGATTTAAAAAATTATTATCTCTCAATTGCATTGATGAAATTGCCCGTTTGAGATGTGCTGTTGCTGACACTAATATATGAAAATCCAAATAATGTTGACGAATATTGATAAAAAATATTGAATATATATAAAGAAATAATATGAGGATTGAACTTATTCCATCATAGAGAAATTTTTGGATGCAGCTGTCCGTCTCATTTCTATTTCTATCTAGGTCTATTCCATACATATTGAGAATCAAAGTCTCAACAACTCGTTTAATTAAGAGCCGAAAGCCTACATATCACTCACGCCCATTTGAAATGTTTAATTATTTTAAAAAACATATTGAAATAGCTGCATATATATAAGGTAGCAAATTATTATGAGTTTACTCTCCTATTTATGGAAAGGGAAAAATACAGTAATTAATTCGCCTAACAATATTGAAACCAAATTACACGGTTGTTCACTTTTCGAAGGCAATTTCGCAAGGCGGGGGCGTTCAACCAAAGACTGGGACGAACAAAGTATACGGACCACGGAATCAAAAAGCAGTAAAGTTGTTATGATTGTTTGACAAAAAAGGATTTTTTTAATTTTGCACCCTCGTAAAATTTGTATTAAATTTATTATTTCTTTCATTTTAAATTATAAAATATTTTAAGATAAAATCTCACGTATCAATAAAATTCATTAAATATATTTTACAACTTTATTTTTTTAAGATAAAAATATAAACTTTTAAAAATACCCGTCATTTAATATTCTATTGATAAAAGAATATTGAAGAAAGAGAATATATGAAAAAGATAATACTAAAAAAGTATCATTAATGAAATCTTATTTTTATCAAAATATTTTATATTTTGGAACACTCAATCTTCTCTAAAAGTATTTTATAATTTGGGATGGAGGGAGTATTTATAGGTACATAGTTCTATTTCAATATAATTAACAATTCAATTCAGTGATGGACCAAGAAAAATTAATTAGTGCTAGCAACAACATGGATAAGTAATTAAGAATATTAATTTTTAAATAACATCTTATTAAAATATTAATACTTTAGTATTTGAAAATTTAAATATTATTATTTACAAATCTTCATACACAATTTGTTAAAATATCACCGACAAACTCTCTCCCTCTCCCCCCAAAATTTTCTCCACTGATTTGGTCAAAGAAGAAAGAAGCAGAGGCGATGAAGAAATAAAATAAATCAACAAAAGTCTAGATGCTCTCCCTGCAGCAAAAATGGCGGTGAAAGATTTTTCCTGATGCAAGAGAACAGCATAATCAATAAGGTTTATAGAGGATTTTTGACCGACATCCTTCAAATATAAATATGTGAAAGTGTGTGCCATTGTTTGTGTAGCCGAGTGTAAGTGTGAATAGAAGAAGAAGAAGGGGGAAAAAAAAAAAAAAAAAAGTGTGCAACGTGAGAGAAAGGAGAGGGGCGTAAAAGTGCCAGTAAGGAAAATGAGAAAGAGAAAAGGAGTGAGGAAAAGATTGCAAGAGAAAGATAGAAATGTTTGTATAAATTATAGATTGAGTAAGTAATAAAAGTTTATTTTCAGTTCAGTCCCTCTCTTCTTCTATCCAGAAATCCCAACAAAATTTACAAGTCTACATTTAAGATATACAAATTTTTTAAGGAGGACTTATAAATTTTAGAGGATAAATTATAATTTGTCATATTATTTTAATTTACAAATTAAGTAGTGTGAAAAACACATTCATCTATAAATTTTATAAGAATTAGTTGAGTTGTTAATATTTAAAAGAAGATTTATAAATTTCAGGTGAATATTGATAAATAGTAATATTCAAAATATAATTGACATTGATGTTTAATGAGAAAAATAATAACCCATCATATAAATTATAGATAATTATTTTTGGAGGCTTAAGATGACAGACTCATTGGCCTAACAGTTCACACGGCCTTGGAGAATACTCAATAGGCATATATTCTACATTGGCATTTTGCAACACAAATATACTGGACTTACGATGTTGTTTCACAATGTCGTTGTGTTTCGGACACCTTTTCTATTTATAAGGAGCAGGTCGATCTAGGCTGTATCCTTTTAATCATAGAGCTTCACCAGTTATTTACGGAAGAGGGAATAAATTTTCTACCCGCAAGTGCGTTCAAGTCTGTTGAAGAAGTTTCATCAGAAACTTAAAACTGAGATCATGCTCTTGGGATTGACTAAAAAGCTGTACTTTGACTTCGGGACAGATATCCCGCGGCTTTTATGTGCAAAGTGATGACGAGGAAAGTGCTTCGAAACTAAAACCTCTTAATTAACATTGATCTAATATTCAAAATATTGCTATTGCTACTTATTTAAATTAAATTAGCCATTTTTAAATTAAAATAAAAAAGATATCTTACCTATAAAGAGAGGTGTGTCATCAGCATATTTATTTTTGAATTGTTTAGGTATTCAAAAATGGTTAAATTTTCAGGATAATATAAGTTTAGTTCATAAACTATTTCTGAATTATCAATTCGTGAATCTTGATTTAGTATAACTCAGTGTTTGTAATTTATTGAGTTAAGAAATTATAGGAATTAAATTCTATCAAGTCAAAAGACTACATAGAACAGCAGAATTGTTTTGTGTTAACAAACTATAATGATTATATTGTTTTGGTTCAAAGTTCAATCAATAAATTGATAATTGAAAAAAAATTAGAAATTAAAGGTTATATATTTTTTTTAAAAAGTTTTAATCTTATAAATGAAAAATAAAAAATATAAATGATAATATACTTGAGAAATCAATGTATGTATATGTATGTATGAGAGCCATATTTAATGTTGGGAAAGTTAGAAAATATTAACTCCTAAGCGACCAGTGTGACTAATTACTCATTAAATATTTAAAAGAAAATTAATCTACAGATTCTTGTAGTTTTCCTCAATTTTAATTTTTAGTTTCTTATAATTTATTTTTATTTTAATTACACTCTTATAGTTTGATCCATAAGATATGTTAATCCCTAAAAGTTAAAATTAATAACAAATTATTAACTTTCTCAAAACAAAAATACTTTTGTAGTTTATAGAAAATTTAATTTAATACTTTTATTAATTTTTTAATGAAATTCTATATGTATGAAAATTATTTAGAAGAAAACCTAAAGTTATATAATCTTATAATATAAATATAAAAGTTCTTAGTTTTGTGTTTTTAGAGGAAAAATTCAAACCTTTAGGAATTAGAATGTCACCATTAAAGCATGACAAATAAAGTACATATGCTTTCCTTTAATTATTGAGCTTGACCAAAAGTTTGAGTAAACCATATAGTGTAATATTTATTTGTTCTTAGGAGAATTACAATCAGGTCCCATATAAGAAAATTAATTACTGTAAGGTCCATTAACAACTGAACTAAACTAAACCATATTGTATTGCCAATGTAGTTTAGTTCAGTTGTTAATGGACCTTGCAATAATTAATTTTCTTGTGTGGGACTTCAATGCAATTCTCCCTTTATTTTACTTTAACATGTGTTTGTGGCAATATTTAGGCCCATCATGACCGAACCAAGGTGCTGCAATTTAAAGGCCTTTAAGTGCTTGAAAGAGAGAAGAATTAGTAGATGATAGGTGTCATCTTGTAGAACACTTAGGTGATTATGAGGATGAATTAAATTCCTCTATTTAAAGGCTTAACCTTTAGCAATTAAAGCTCATCTTGGGATCTCCTTGTGGTTGTGAGGAAGAGAGAAGGGAGGAAGAGAGAAAGAAAAGAAAGAAAAGTAAGAGAGTTTGGTCTTCAATCAAGAACAAGAGCTTTTGCTACCTAGGAATTAAGGTAAGGACTTATACTTTACTTGTTATATTATTATTTACTTGAGTACATTAGCATGTTTTTGTAAATATTCCCTGCTTATGTGCAGAACAAAACTGATCGAAACTCTTCTCCATATTCAAGGTTGCATGTAACTTCAAAGTGAAGATTTGAAGTTTGTTACTTGCTAGTTTGCTGGTTAAATGGCTGTTTTCATGATTGCATGTTGATTTGCATGGGTAAATTTCTATATAATATGTGAAGTATGAGTTTCTATTGATATTATCATAATCTCACTCCCTAAATCATTAACTAGCATGCTAGGTCCAAGTTCAAGTAAATGTAAAGATGTAACATCCCAAATTTTAATCCTTAGATTACTAAAGAAATAATCAAGTTTAATCATGGTAATTGAATGATTTGATGTGGTGTGTGGCCAGAGAGGTCTAATCAATATATTTAGTTCTGATTTCAGCCTTAATTATGGGTTCAAAGTAAAGTCAGGCTATTTAAGCATCGAAAGAAGAAGAAAACATAAAGGGTTTTCTTTGTGCCATATGCCACGACTTGCACTACATCCGCTATGGCACATAGATGATAACAAATA